CCTGAAAATGAAACTCAAATACTTTGGCCACCTAATGAGATGGAAGGACTCACTGGAGAAGAGCCTAATGCTGGGAACGATGGAGGGCAAAAGAAGAAGGGAATGACAGAGAACGAAGTGGCTGGATCAAGTCATTGAAACAGTTGGCGTGAGTTTAAATGGACTCCAGAGGATGGTAGAGGACAGGAAGGCCTGGAGGAACATTGTCCATGGGGTTACGAAAGGTCAGACATGACTTTGCAACTAACAACAACAACAATGGTTATATGAAAGTTGATACCATCCAAAAAAGATTAAAAGAAAGTTATTCTTTAGAGGAGCCCTAAAATGTAACATTAAGTTGACATCCTATTCAGAAATAAAAAAAATATATGTAGGACTAGACGATCCCCTGTTCACCTTGAAATGACCCATACATCCAACCTCCTTTTTTCTCCTGTTGTCCATCAGTTTGGGATGTAGTAGTGCTTCAATTTCATTCATCCCATAGATGTGGACAAGTCAATTGACCCACCTTGATAGCGATCAAAGCTAAACCATCCATCTGAAAGACAACACTGCAGGAAATACAAATGTGGGAGGGGGCTTCTTCTTCTTTTCCTCCCCAGACTTTTGGGCAGCCATGAGTGCCACCTTAATGAGATGAAGGCATTTTTATTCAAGGCCACGTTGACACACTTTGTTTCCGATGGCAGAAAAGAAAACTAGGCTGTGATTGATAGCCTTCTGACACATCCGTCTTTCTGACTGACTCAAAAGAGCTTTCGAGATGTGGAAAACTGACAGCACAATTCAGCTCCTAAAGGTTTCCCCCCTCCCTCTTGTTCTCCCCTTCCTTTGCCATGAGATAACATACTCAGTAATAAAAGCTTAAGAGGAAGAAGGTGCAATTGCTTGTAATGGGAGAAATGTTGGCACCTGCTTAACTACACCCATGAGATCTTTAGATGTGACCATGTCAACTGGAAAATGATTCATACTTATAACTACTACCTCCTCCTCCTCCTCCTTTTCTTCTTCTTCTTCTTCTTCTTCTTCTTCTTCTTCTTCTTCTTCTTCTTCTTCTTCTTCTTCTTCCTCTTCCTCTTCCTCTTCCTCTTCTTCTTCTTCTTCTTCTTCTTCTTCTTCCTCTTCCTCTTCTTCTTCTTCTTCTTCTTCTTCTTCTTCTTCCTCTTCCTCTTCTTCTTCTTCTTCTTCTTCTTTCTCTTCTTCTTCTCCTCCTCCTTCTCCTCCTCCTCCTTCCTCCTCCTCCTCTTTTAAAAGATCCCACCATGGAAATTTTTTGGAACATAGGTTAAAAAAAACTTTCTTCCCTGTGAAGGTTTGTATCTGCTCCCAAGATTGCAGGCCTATCCCGCAATGTTGAGCTGTAATCCTAGGACTGATGAAAAGAGCATGTCTAAAAATTGCAAATGACTAAGAGGGATCCATATGAGAAAGGTGCAAAGAACAGAAGTCCGGAGCTGAACACTTGAGATTTATAACATTCCTAACTGAAGTTCTTACACCCTTGAAGGAACAACTCGCCAACATATTTGATTTCCGGTTACACTACACCTTGGCTGGCTCAGGATCGCCGACAAATCCCTATTGTCCATCTGCATGCTTGAAATCCGCATGGCGGATCAGCTCGTCCCATGCTTGATATGCCAGGCCCTCTCGTTCACCGAAGCTGCACATTAACAGCTACCACAACACTAACAACTCTGATCTATCAAGCATGCATACTACCGCGCCTATATTCTTAAGATTCTCAAGGCCAGCTCTTTAGGGGATTACAACTCCTTCTTAGCTTTTGCTCTTCAATAGGGCATTAATATTCTCTGAAAGGCCTCCCCTCGTCAGAAGCTTCGTTAAGATCAGGCTGCTTTGATGTTTGTCTCCGAAATAGAATGACGAGGGATAACAGTTCAAAGTCTACGAAGAAACTCAATATACAAAGCATGTAGCACATCTTAATAAGTAATGAGAATGCCTTTTCCTTTGTTGCCATTACAAAGCAAAAAAAAGTGGGGGGGGGAGGAGGGGAAGTTTATTATCTTTATGGGGTTACGGTTTCACAGTACTTTGTTAATAAATAGCCAAAGTTGTTTGGAGTTTTCGAATGTCTCCAGATAGAGTAGGAAGCACTATTAATAAACAGTGGTTCAGCCAAGGCTATCGATTAACAGTTTTGGATCTGGCAGCCGTTTTATTAATGTGGCAAGCAGGTTGCTGAGTTTTGGGTTTCTTTTTTGTCCCTGCCAGAAATCAAGCACTTTAAACACGATGCAGTGGGAGAACAACTTTTGCCTTCTCTGTTCTTCAGAGAACCTGCAATTTTTAATCATCATCATCATCATCATCATCATCATCATCATCATCATCATCTATTATTATTATTGTGGGACTTTCGAATACAGACAGATCGTCACTTGGAACACAACATGCCAGATATCACAGTTGTCGAAAACCGAAACGTACAATTTATTGACATCGTGGTACCAGGAGATGCCGGAGTTGAAGAAAAAGATCAGATCTAAGCACCCAGTGGGTCAGATGTGGCCCACGGGCCTTGAGTTTGACACCCCTGACTTAGAGAGTGCTGCCAAGCACTGTGAAGTGGTATATAAGTCTAAGCACTATTGCTATAACAAGCAGATGGGTTCATGTTGGCATCTATTAATGGAGCATCTGGAAAGTATCTTCCAAGGACAGGTAGTCCTCAACATACGCCCAGATCTGAGCCCAAAATTTCCATCGCTAAGCGAGACAGTTGTTAAGAGAGTTTTGCCCAATTTTACAACCTTTCTGTTGTGGTCCGCCAGCAGCCTGCAGAACTGGCAGCGGAGTCGGACAGTGAGGAGGCTGGGGAGGAACATGGTCCAGTCCTGGAGTCTGGGGAAGGCCCGGATGAGGGCTCTGCGTCAGAGGCAGAGATGCAGCCAGGGCCATCTGGGAGTGATGCACGGACTCCGGAGCCCCCAGAGTCGGACGGTAGAGAGGCAGAGGAACAGGAGAAGCCTGTTCCTAGTGCACGCATGCGCAGAGCTGCCAGAAGGCAAGAGCAGCTAAAGCAAAAGGGACGACTCGGGAGTAAGGCCAGGAGATGATTGGCCCCTCCCATAAGGCTTAAAAGAGAAACAAAAGTACTTGGGCCTTTTTGCAGGAAAGCAACGTTGCTAACTCTGTTTCCAGTCGGCATCTTTTGTTTGTTTCTGAACTTCGTGGGGCTTTGCCAAGTAAGGCCTTTGGCAGGGTGTCAAAGAAGATAAAGGTTGGTGATTATCCCAAAGGACTTCTTCTGAAGGACTTGTTTTGCAGCTAATTGGGACTCAGCTGGGAATGAACGTAATTCTCAGCTGTTACAATAAAATAGGTTTGTTTGGGACTAATTGTGTCTTGTAATGACTCAGTAACTTTCTGGCCGTCCTAGCTTAAACGAATTGCTGCAGTGGTTAAGTTGGTAACCCAGTTGTTAAGCGAATCTGGCATCCCCATCGACTTTGCTTGTCGGAAGGTTGCATGAGGTGATCACTGGGACACTGCAACTGTCATAAGTACCTGTCAGTTGCCAAGTGTCCAGATTTGACCCCCATTGCAGGGGATTCTGCAATGGTCGTAGGTGTCACAGCTCACTTTTTCCGGTGGTGTTTTAACTTCAAACAGCCACTAAACAATTGATTGTAAACTGAGAACTACATGTATAGCATTCTTTTCAAAGCTATGGACAATGATAATGAGGAATAGGCTATAGCAGGGGTATCTCTTCAGGATCCTGATTTACGAGCCAAGTAAACATACTATTTGATATAGGATAAAGCAGAGTTGTTTTTTTTTTTTAAAGTTCCACTGTCTAGATTATTGGACTGTGGTGTGTGTGTGTGTTATTGTTGTTTTTTAAAAAAGAGCTTACCTAAAACTGGCAGAGTAGAAAGACAATTTAATTATACTGTCACCTGCACCACACGGTCTGATTTTATTAAATTGTCTTTTCAAGATTTTTGAGAGTCGCTTTACTTTTATTTCAATAAATTCGGAACAGAACAGAAGAATAGAGTTAGAAGGGAATTTGGAGGTCTTCTAGTCCAACCTCCTGCTAAGGCAGGAAACCCTAAACCATTTCAGACAAATGGTCGTCCAAACTCTTTGTTAAAACTTCCAGTGTTGGAGCACTCACAATTTCTGAAGGCAAGTCGTTCTGCTGATTAATTGTCCTCACTGTTAGGAAGTTTCTCCTCAGTTCCAGGTTGCTTCTCTCCTTGATTAGTTTCCATCCGCTGCTTCTTGTCCTGCCTTCAGGTGCCGTGGAGAATAGGTTGCCCTTTCTTCTTTGTGTCAACCCCTCAAATATTTCAGACAATCATCCATACTCCTGGTCGTCTCTTACCAGCCTTGATTTGTTCTGCCTTCTGGTGCTTTGAAGAATAGGTGGACTCCAGTGGTGAATTTCAAATTTTTTTGCTACCGGTTCTGTGGGTGTGGCTTGGTGGGCGTGGCATGGCTTGGTGGGTGTGGCAGGGGAAAGATACTGTAAAATCGCCATTCCCACCCCACTCCAGGGGAAGGATACTGCAAAATCCCCATTTCCTCCCGATCAGCTGGGACTCGGGAGGCAGAGAATAGATGTGGGCAGGGCCAGTCAGAATTTTTACTACCGGTTCTCCGAACTACTCAAAATTTCCGCTACCGGTTCTCCAGAACTGGTCAGAACCTACTGAAACCCACCTCTCGTGGACTCCCTCTTCTTTGTGGCAGCCCCTAATATATTGAAACACTGCTATTATGTCACCCCCGTCCTTCTTTTCATTAAACGAGGCTTACCCAATTCCATTCTCTCTCTCTTTTCCCGCCCGCCTCAGCAAATCAGAATCAAAATACAGCCCTCATTTAAACTAAAATAACTGCCTTTACAGTGGGAAAGTTGGCAGTTATTTCCATGACTTTCTCAGGCCTATTGTTCCTATTCTGGAATGTTTATAGCTTCCATCGCCTACAGCTAACATCTGAGCTTTAGTGAGGTGATATAATAATTTCATTAGGTACTTTCAGTTTGTCTCTGACAAGTACCAATTTCCGAACAGTGTTAAGCATTCAGTAACAATACCAACAATAATAACCTTTTCCCACTGTCGCTTAGTTTCCACAAAGGATTGATTTCACTGCTCAGAAATGTTGTTGTGTTTTCAATTACCACTCCCCACCTTTTCATCAGACAAAAGCTGGCATAGATTATGAAGGACAGTCATAGAAAATTTAGTTTGCTATGGCTCAGATCTAGAAGATGCTCAAATATTCCGAAAGAGGAATTTACAGAAGGCAGGTAAAGAAATATGAACTGTTTCTATACGATTTCCACAAGAGTTCAAGAGTAGAATATTTGAAGCTCAGCTTTGAATTGTGGTGTCCTGGTTGATTTCTGAGGTTGGTTGTTTTCTTGAAGACATTTCATTACCCAATTAGGTAACATCATCAGTGCTAGCAGCTGATGATGTTATCTAGTTGGACAATGAAAAATATGCAAGAAAGCCACCAAGCTCAGAGATCACCAAGGATCCTACAGTTGAACAGTAATTGGTATTAAAAGGTTTGGATCTCACGTACAGAGTTGGAAAATCCTCAAACTTCCAGAAGTTGATGAATGAAAAATGGGAGCATCCCCTCCCCCAAAGTGTCAATCAAACAGGCAAGTGCAATATTATTCACAAGTGCAATTCACAAGTGTCCATATCTGATGATTTCAACTTTCCATTCTTTGATTTCATCCAGGGTTGTGGCAAAAATGTTTTCCTTCCTTCCTTCCTTCCTTCCTTCCTTCCTTCCTTCCTTCCTTCCTTTCCTTCCTCCTCCTGATTATGATGGTGATGATAATGATGATGATGATGAAGATGGAGACAAATCAGTGTCTTTGTTCGCTTCATGAAGTAGAAAAACAGAGCCTTCTTTCACGAAGGGAGAGAATGTCCCGGAAAATAGATTATTTTTTCCCCCATTCTTCTTCTCCATTCTTCCCCCCTCCATAAATAATGTATTTCTCAGAATGACATTTCCTCTTGTTTTGGAAAAACTTGCAAGAACCCAAAGCCAGCGGGTTTTTTTTGTTTTGTTTTGTTTTGTTTTGAAAACTCCTTTCTTTGTCTTTCTTTCTTTTTTCTCTTTGTTTTCCTCAGGAACCTGCCCTGCATTTATTGTCTAACGAAATGCGACATTGTATGCCTGTATAACTGGGAAAGGGGAGGAGGGACGTGTGTGAAATGATCAATTGAAAGCCCAATCAAGGTTTAACAGATAGGCCAGCAGTCACCCCCTGTTTGATATCAAAGGTGTTTTATTTCTGGTCCCTTTTTCGTGTCACTGAAAGAATGCTTCCTACGTGTGGATTAATTAAAGTGTAAACATTAAATATTGATTGATGCATTATCAGCCAGCAGCAGTTGCCTCCGCTCGGATTGATTTCCACAGTGATTTATTGTCATATTTGTGAAGTCATTTCACTTGATAACAAAGAGAATTAGGCTACTACCTTTGCCGTTCTCTCATGTTCATAGATTCCTCTCTGAGGCTCTTTTCTCACCCGTCCCTTACTGAGCTTGAAAAACGTCTTTATTGAAACGGAGAAGCGCTATCATAATGCGGTTGCGTCTTTTGACTAAGCTCATCTGAATTCAAAGAGGAAGAAATTCACTTATGCTTGAACAAAAACATGGAGATATCTTTGCTTGATTAGTTCAGTGGATTGTCCAAATATAACATCCTACCAAGGAGGTGAGAAGATCCAACTGGACTTAACTTTTGAGAGAATAAATAAGGGATTGAAATGAAAGTCCGCTGGAATAAATCTTGGGTCTAAAATCGGTGAATTTCTCCTTTACCATAGTTACAGTAAGGCAGATTTCTCATTTCTTGGTATTCTGATTTCTAATAATCCTTCCATAGATTTGCATAGTCCAAAGCCAGTGGAAGGTGCCAACACATATAAGTTGAAACATAGGGAAGGGAAGGGAAGGGAAGGGAAGGGAAGGGAAGGGAAGGAAAGGAAAGGAAAGGAAAGGAAAGGAAAGGAAAGGAAAGGAAAAAGGAAAGGAAAGGAAAGGAAAGGAAAGGAAAGGAAAGGAAAGGAAAGGAAAGGAAAGGAAAGGAAAGGAAAGGAAAGGAAAGATAGGCAATGGAAGGGAAGGAAAGATAGGCAATGGAAGAGAAGGGAAGGGTGATAATGGCTAAAGAAACCAAGCAAAACTTAAAAATAAAATCCTAGAAATTAATAACCACAAACCAATACACACACACACACACACACACACACACACACACACACACACACACAATCGCCTTGCAGTCCAAGGGACTCACATATTCTTTCAAAAGCCAATTTTTTTTCCTGACGTCTCTATTTATAGTCTCCTCATTCCTCCAACAACAACTTGGCTTGTAAAATGTGCATCTTTTTATCACCAAAATCTGGGCTTACTCTAAAGATTCTGGACTCCACACAACCCCAAAATATCAAGTAAGATGTGATCCTTAAAGTTATCCAGCGATGGTTACTTGATCACTTATTGATTTTGGAAAAGACGTTGACACCCAAGGTAGTGAGCAGCTGGCCACAATAAAAGCTCAGGGACTCAGTGGTGAGAAACGAAATGTATTCATGAAATGGCCTTGTTACCCATTAACAAAACTGTGTGTGTATATGTATCACTTGCATTTACAACATTTTTTGCCATGATTTAATGTTGGAAGTAGGAATGCTAGTCAAAAGCCACTGGAATCAATCAAAGGCAAAGGTCTGTCTGTCTGTCTGCCTCTCTCTCACACACACACTCTCTCTCTCCCCTCTCCTCTCTCTCTTCTTTTTTCTCTCTCTCTCTCTTCTTTCTCCTCTCTCTCTCCTTTCTCTTCTCTCTCTCTCTCCTTTCTCTTCTCTCTCTTTCTTCTTTCTCCTCTCTCTCTCTCCTCTCTCTCTCTCTCCTTTCTCTTCTCTCTCTCTTCTTTCTCCTCTCTCTCTCTCTGTCTCTCTCTCTCTCTCTCTCTCTCTCTCTCTCTCTCTCTCTCTCTCTCACACACACACACACACACACACACACAAATCCAAAAACAGTAATAGGAAACTGGTGTTCTGACCAAGTAGTAAAACATTAACCTTAAAACAGCACAGCAGTGGCTAAACAACAAACTGATGTTTGGGGGGTTGGGAATCAAAAGAGCTACTCTGAGTTTTGAGGATCTAATTCCAAGTGAAGCATTTTGTCTGAGATGATCCCTGTGTAGTGCCAACTGTCCCTTCCTGAAATAAGGAATATAAATCCTTCCATTCCCCACTCTCCTGCCAGAGCTGAAGAAGCTTCTTGGATGAGAAGCGAAACATCTTCAAAAGAAAAAGCAAGTCCAGTTGCCTCCTAAAAAAGCCCCTTTGGGACAACCATGACCTGGAGGACGGAGAATCTCAACAGATCTTCCTGGAATAAATCATTCAGTTGTTGATGCCTCTTCCAAATGTTCCCAAATTGTCCCCAAGGTTATTAAAAGGGAAGGACTGAAATGAGTCATTTCCCACTGAATAGCAGATATTGGGACTATCATTGATTGCCGAAGAAAAACATGTTGAGACTACACTTCTGCTAGGGGTATCTACTTCGGTTTAAATTTAATTTTAAATTAGATACTAGACTGTCAATTAGGGGTGATATAATAGCAACAAGATGATTGGGGGAACAGAGGTGAAAACATATGAAGAAAGGTTGCAGGAATTGGGTATGCCTAGTTTAATGGAAAGAAGGAGTAGGGGTGACCCAATAGCAGTGTTCAACCAACCTAGCACTAGGGAGAAATTTCATGACAGTTAAGAAAGGATGAGTGCCAAAGAATTGAGGCCTTCGAACTATGGTGCTGGGACTCCTGCGTATCCCTTGGACTGCAACGTGATCAAACCGGTCAGTCCTAGAGGAGATCAACCCTGACTGCTCTTTAGAAGGCCAGATCCTGAAGATGAAATTCAAATGCTTTGGCCACCTAATGAGAAGGAAGGACTCCCTGGAGAAGAGCCTAATGCTGGGAAAGATTGAGGGCAAAAGAAGAAGGGGACATAAGAGAATGAGGTGGCTGGATGGAGTCACTGAGCTTTAATGGACTGGGTGCTTTAATGGGGGATGGTAGAGGACAGAAAGGCCTGGAAGAACGTTGTCCATGGGGTTGCAATGGGTCGGACACAACTTCGCAACTAACAACAACAAAAGAGCCATTAATGAGTGGAACAACTTGCCTCCAGAAGTTGTGGGTGCTCCAATACTGGAGGTTTTTAAGAAGAGATTGGACAACCATTTGTCTGAAAATATATAGAGTTTCCTGACTGAGCAGGGATTTGGACTAGAAGACCTTCAAGGTCTTTTCCAAGTTTGTTATTCTGTTATTCAGTCTTCCAGTACTTGAGGGGCTGTCAGAGACAAGAGGGGGTTCATCAATTCTCCAAAGTACCTGAGGATAGGGCAAGAAGAAATGGGGGTAAGATTCTTTCCTCTGCTGTTTCATTCCTTGACTGAATTTCAACAGAGCCCAGATCTGAATTCTAAATTCTTTGAGCAGATCTCAACCTTCTCTTCAGATGTTCATTCAAACTGGTCCATCCTCTTCAACACCTTTATCACCATCACAGTTAATTTTATATCTCCATTCAGGTCCTACTTCCTGCAATAGAGAGGATTTAGCACTTAGCACTTAGACTTATATACTGCTTTACAGTGCTTTATAGCTCTTTCTAAGCAGTTTACAGAGTCAGCATATTGTCCCCAACAATCTGGGTTCTCATTTGTCAACCATGGTTGAGCCTGGTGAGATTTGAACTGCCAAATTGCAGGCAACCAGCAGTCAGCAGAAGTAGCCTGCAGTACTATGTTCTAACCACTGCGCCACCGTGGCTCATGATGCCTTACTTGCCTTAAAATGGCAGCAGAGAAATTCCATGCACTGAAGGGAAGATGACAAGGAACTGCTCTGTCACCAGAATGTTCCTTCTTCTTAATCTTGATCCTCTCCAAAAGAACAATGCTCATACTTTGCATGCTAAATCCAACTTATAGGTATTCAAGAAGGCAGCATCCCTTGGGATTTTACAGAGATTAATTAGCTGTCTTTAATCTTAATTCAAAGCAGAGCTGACTGCCATTTTTTCAGATGTGAGAACTTATGCACTGAAGAAAAAGAAAAAGAACATTTATATTCCCTCAGAATATAAATGAAGAATATATTTCTTCTTCTTCTCTTCTTCCTCTCTTCCTCTTCTTCCTCTTCTTCTTCTTCTTCTTCTTCTTCTTCTTCTTCTTCTTCTTCTCTTCTTCTCTTCTTCTTCTTCTTCTTCTCCTCCTCCTCCTCCTCCTCCTCCTCCTCCTCCTCCTCCTCCTCCTCCTGCTCCTGCTCTGCTCCTCCTGCTCCTCCTGCTCCTCCTGCTCCTCCTCCTCCTCCTCTCAATTACAAGTTGCCTGACTGTCTTTGGTGTGTTATTTCCTGAAATTGTATATAATTGGTTTTGAAAAGACTGGAACATAGTTTTGAAGCTGGCTAAAAGCATGCCTTCTTGATCACTGCTTACATCATGTTATTTTGCACTTCCTGAAAATGGATTATCTTTGATAATAAATGCAAATTAGGGGGCAATAAATTACAAGTCAACCCATGTCTGATTATATGGAATATAATTAACTCCAGATTCTTTTACATAGTATTTAGCTTAATAATCATCTCCTGTACAGTAAAAGAGCATAAACTTGCTTCTTTTTCATTTTTTCTTCCAGTTATTATATGCCATTGCAAAATTTAATTCTAAACTAGAGTGACAATTTTTGAAAGAAAAATTTGAAATAAATGAAAAGTAAACTGTGTTTAATTTTGCTTGAGTTATATATTTCCTTTGCTGATCTTTCCCTGAAATTGTTTCTAAAATCATTTATTTGTGTGTGTGTATAGATTCTATAGGGTTGGGTTGGCTCAGTAGCTAAGATGCTGAACTTGTCAGTCGAAAGGTTGGCAGTTCAGCGGTTAGAATCCCTAGTGCCGTGTAAAGGGGTGAGCTCCCGTGACATGTCCCAGCTTCTGCCAACCTAGCAGTTCGAAAGCAGGTAAAAAATGCAGGTAGAAAAATAGGGACCACCTTTGGTGGGAAGGCAACAGCGTTCCGTGCGCCTTTGGCATTGAGTCATGCCGCCCACATGACCACGGAGACGTCTTCGGACAGCGCCGGCTCTTTGGCTTTGAAACGGATATGAGCACCGCCCCCTAGAGTTGGGAACGACTAGCACATATGTGCGAGGGGAACCTTTACCTTTTTATAGATTCTATATCATCTTATATATTTATCTCGTCTATATTTTGGATTTATTTTATTTAGAAAGCGAGCAAGAGGAAGGTTTTGCCAGGAATTTAGATAAAGAGATGGCTATATTCTTCACTTTATGGTAACTATATATTCTTCACCTGTGATACTCTGGTTTGGTTAATATATATTATACTTAATATATTATATGAATATATTCACCGCCCAGTAAGAGCTTTGCGTGTTTGAAACAAATATTTTATGGGCTGACAGTCATCAACAAGAGAGGCCTGAGGGAAGAAAATGTCCCTCGGGAAAGATATTCTCAGCAAACAGAGAGCAGTTATGGTTTAACTTCATACACGATAAACAACAATGCATTAATATTTATATTAAGTTCTCCTGTGCTGCTATTTCAAGAATCTTCCTGGGAAAAAAGATATTCATAGATTTTGGATTCGATCTTCCCAACATGGCAGCTGGCTGTTCTAGACTAGAAAAATAGCTTTCCTACCAAACTTGGCCTATTTTGAATTTTTGTCGATTTATTTCCCATTCCTGACTTGCTTTTCTGATTTGACTTTCAGCCTTCGTGTTTCTGATTTGGAGCATTTCTGTGGCCACTGAAGGCCAGTTTGGTGTCATAATGAAGATGCTGATAGAGAAATTGTAAGGAGACTGTGAGTTCTAATACTAAATTAGCAATGGAATGGAATGGAATGGAATGGAATGGAATGGAATGGAATCGAATGGAATGGAATGGAAGTCCTTCTCCTTTTTTCCTTACACCAATACCTGGATAACTGGACTCTGGATGGAGCATTTTTCAAAACAGAACATGGGTGGGCATGGCCAGAGTGGGCGTGGCCAGGGTGGGCATGGCCAGCTTGACATCACTCGTGTTGGGGGCATCTGTTGTGGCTAAGTGCTAAGGTAGGACTTCCCTCAGACCCTTCCTCCCTTTCATTATAATATTCCTTCCTTCCTTCCTTCCTTCCTTCCTTCCTTCCTTCCTTCCTTCTTCCTTCCCTCCTCCCTTCCTTCCTTCCTTCCTTCCTTCCTTCCTTCCTTCCTTCCTTCCTTCCTTCCTTCCTTCCCCTCTTGCCTTATTTTTTTTTCCTTGCTCTCTTCCCGCGTCCCCATTTTCACTGACAAAGGCACCACAGGCGGGTCCTTTGTTGTTATCAGGGTAGCCCTGTGAGCCAGATTTAAGCACCCCACAGGCCAGATGTGGCCCGCAGGCACACCCCTGGTCTATTTCAAAAGGGCAGTTTTCGAAAGCTCAAGCTACTTTTACCACACATACCATCTTTCTAGGACAGTTAAGACACTCGGCTTGTTGGCTGGAAAGCCGGCAGCCCAGGTTTGAGACACGAGCACCATGCGATGGGTTGAGCTCCCATCCTCACCCCAGCTCCTGCCTGCCTAGCCCACCTCAATCGGTGGGCTAGGCAGTCTTTTATCTCATTGGTCCCTTAGCAGGATTTCTTCACCCATTCCTTCATATTATTATACCTACAGAGCAGGGGTGAAATCTACTTACCTTCCTTACTGATTCAGAAGCGCATGCACCACATGTGCACATCACATGCGCACATAGACCTTCTGCACATGCGCAGAAGGTAAAAAAAAACATTACTTCCTGGTTAAAACCAGGAAGCTTTGCTGCGTCATTGCTATGAGATCATCGAACCACCGGCCAAGATCACTCCCGGACTGGGCGATCCGATCCGATCCGGGAGCATCTCATCCCTGCTACAGAGGGTGTGATGGCTGAGATGAGCTTGTCAGCTGGAAAGCTGACAGCCTGGGTTCGAGACCCGAGCACTGCATGATGGGACGAACTTCCGTTCCTTGCTCCAGCTCCTGCCCACCTAGCAGTACAAAATCATGCAAATGCAAGTAGATAAATAGGTACCACTTTTGGGGGGAAGGTAACGGCGGTCCGTGACGTCATGCTGGCCACATGACCATGGAAATGTCTTCAGATAACGCTGGCTCAACATCCTTGAAACGGAGATGAGCAGCGCCCCTATAGTCGGCAACAACTAGCGTAGTAAAATCTGCAGGGACTCCCGTTATCATCCTTCTCCCCCCCTCCCACAATAAAGGAAGTGAAAGGAAAGTTTTGATATTACTTTCTTAAGTGAGTTTCTGATTGAAATGAGATACCCTTGTGGGTGACTTTTGATCTTTGCTATTCTTGGTTAGGTTTTGTGATTTCTCATCGTTCTTCCAAAAGGGACCACTGAAGAAAGATAAATGGCATTTCTGTTACTTTTGCTTGAATTGCAGCCTTTTCCATTGCTTGTGCTAAAGAGGTCCATTAGTACAACACAATAGAAAACGCTGATAAATGATGGGAGATTAAACTTTGGACAATGCATTACAAGAAAAACCATAAACCGCATTATTACTCAGACATAAACCATTTCCTACTTGGATGACAAGCAGATTTCTTCTCCACGGGGAGCTCCATCTCACCCCGATTTTCATTATTCACCACCAATATATCTGCGGCAGCCACAAAAGGTTCTCCTCTCCTATCTTTCTTTTAAGTATCATAAGAGGTCCCTGGTGTGGTTGGGTTTCTCTGAAATCTATAAAAATTCTAATTCAAGCTGGACCACATCCACGTATAATTCCATCAGTGGAACGTTGCAGAAAAGACCAAAAGAGCTACCAATCTTCTTTCTTACACTTTCTACAATATTTTGCTTTTGTAGAAGGACGCGGTGGCTCAGTGGCTAAGGCGCTGAGCTTGTCGATCGAAAGATCGGCAGTTCAGCGGTTCGAATCCCTAGTGCTGTGTAACGGGGTGAGCTCCCGTTACTTGTCCCAGCTTCTACCAACCTAGCAGTTCGAAAGCACATAAAAATTCTGCCCACTGTCAGGACTTTGATCCTGACTGGCTCAAGGTTGACTCAACCTTCCATCCTTCCGAGGTCAGTAAAATGAGGATCCAAATTGTTGGGGGCAAGAGGCTGACCCTGTAAACTGCTTAGAGAGGACCGTAAAGCACTGTAAAGCAGTATATAAGTCTAAGCGCTATTGCTATTAGATACAAAAAAGACATTACTTGTCCTTGCCCTAAAACAGTGTTTCCCAAACTTGGCAGCTGGAAGGCGGATGGACTTCAACTCCCAGAATTCTGGCTGGGGAATTCTGGCTGGCTGGGGAATTCTGGGAGTTGAAATCCACCCGCCTTCCAGCTGCCAAGGTTGGGGAACCCTGCCCTTCTTTTGACCCCATTCTTCCCAGATGTGTTGAACTACAAAGCCCACCATCCGTTGCCCACACAGGAATTGTAGTTCATCAACTTGGAAGGTGCTGAGTCAGCAGAGGCAACGTTAAGAGTTGCGCAAAAGTTCATTGTCACAACCACTCCTGAACAAAACATGAAGATCTCATAAACCGCAATACCCCACGATTTAATTAGACTTAGTCACGCGTTGCGTAAATTGCAGCTCCGGTTTGCGAGAAGATTCTATAAAATCATAACTGTTTGGCAACGTTTCCTAAAATATTTACACAAGCCTTCGTCCTTCTCCATTTTCAACTTGGAAAAGCTGCACAGATTCCGAGTGAGTAATAGCGATGCTGTTTTTTTAAAAAAAACCAAAACAAAACAAAACTTTTCATTCAAAGGCTACTTTTCAGTTTTCATAAAAAGGGAAATGAACAGTAGAATGGGGCAAGAACAGTTGCGAAATTAGCATAAGAGACATTAAAATCCTTCCTATAATCCAATTTACATGTCTCGTTAGATGTGACTGCTATTTCGGGACTTCTTGTATGTGGCTAACGTAGAAGAAAAAGCAAGCAAATTCAAATTTAAGGCCAATAATATTTATTCTGCTCCAAGCAAAATCAGAGCAAGTTCAAAATTCCATGTCCTTTTTTTACTTTTTAAACTACTCAGAGATTAATTCAATGAACTAATTATCAGAGTAACTAACAGAAAAATGTTAAATCATACAGGTACTGCTCAACGTACGACCACAACTGAGCCCAAAATCTTTGTTGCTAAGTGAAACATTTGTTCAGTGAATTTCGCCCCATTTTATGACCTTTCTTGCTACGGTTATTAAGTGAACCGCTGCAGTTGTTAAGTTAGTAACACGGCTGTTAAGTGAATCTGGGTTTCCCCATTGACTTTGCTCGTCAGGCGATCACAAAAGGGGATGACGTGCACAAGGCACTGCAACCGTCATAAATATGAACCAGTTACCAAGCGTCGGAATTTGAATCACATGGCCAGGGGGATGCTACAATGGTTGTAAGTCTGGAAAATGGTCATAAGTCACTTAAGTGATCTTGTAGGTCTCAGCTTTGATCCTTATCTAGGCAAAGAACTGAGCTTCTTCAACCCTGAGCTACAACTATTCTCCTTTACTGATAGCTTCATTCCTTAATTCTTTGCCTAGATAAGGATCAAAGTTGAGACCTACAAGATTACTAACAAGAACAACAACAACAACAACAGAGTTGGAAGGGACCTTGGAGGTCTTCTAGTCCAACTCCCTGCTTAGGCAGGAAACTCTACATCACTTCAGACAAATGGTTATCCAACATCTTCTTAACAACTTCCAGTGTTGGAGCATTCACAACTTCTGGAGACAAGCTGTTCCACTGGTGAATTGTTCTAAATGTCAGGAAATTTCTCCTTAGTTCTAAGTTGCTTCTCTCCTTGATTAATTTCCACCCGTTGCTTCTTGTCTTGCCCTCAGGTGCTTTGGAGTGTAGCTTGACTCCCTCTTCTTTGGGGCAGCCCCTGAGATATTGGAACACAGCTATCATGTCACCCCGAGTCCTTCTTTTCATTAAACTAGACATACCCAGTTCCTGCAACCGTTCTTCATATGTTTTAGCCTCCAGTCCCCTAATCATCTTAACTTAACTTAAGTGACAGCTTAATTTAAGTGACAGCTTAACTTAAGTGACTCATGACCATTTTTCACACTTACAAGCGTTGTAGCATCCCCACGGCCATGCGATCCAAATGGAACATCTGCAAGAAAACAACCAAGCTCAGAGAGCACCAATGTAGCTCTCAATAGACATCCTCAGTGATCCATGAAAGACACTGAACTATCACTGGACGGAGTCAGCCTTCTCCCCAAACTATGGAGATCAAATCTGCTCTTTCAAACGCTTTCAAAGGTCTTCTCCTCCATTGCAATCAGAAAGAGACGTTCCTCGGTTCCCAGCCACTTCTTATGAATCAGTTACATTCTAAACAGTAAGCATTTTCTTTTCTTTTTTCTTTTGGCTTAAAATGGGGGAAAGGACCCTGTAAAAACCCCACAATGGATGTCCTTACTACATTTCCAAACATCAAATTCTGAATTATACAAGAGTTAGACAGCCTGGTGGGTAACTACACTGGCCTTTCATGTCTCATTATGTTGTTAATTAGCTAATGTTTGTAAAGCACTTTGAAGATGAAAGACATCCATATACATTCCAAGTATTATTATCTCTGGAGAACTGAGTTCAGCTAAGAGGTGCCTAATTACACATGCAATAAATTAGATTTAATGAATCTCGGAATCCTGGTTGTGTGTGTGTGTGTGAGAGAGAGAGAGAGAGAGAGAAAGAGAGAGTGAGAGAGATGTACGAGCTTCGATCAGGCATTGCGATACACGGAAAGAGGTTTTTGCTGAAGATGCAA